CCCCAACACTCGCCGGCCACATGCCACTGCAACCGACATTAATGTTCGTGTTTTGATTGTCAACTAATAAGGAGGGGGTTTTAAGGAAATGGCAGAGGCATAAAAACAGGGAAACAGCACACTTTTTAAAAGGTTGAAATAAAAATGTAAGGAAAAGATACCTACATGTATATACATGTAGGTACATTTTACCTATGTTATGTACAAATTAATACTCGCGTATGTGTATATAGTCTCCCTCAGTTCCTTAAGTCGCGGCTTGGGGAATGAATGTCCAATGTCACGACCACGATGCCTTGTCAACTTAAGGCTACACCCCTCCCTCCCACGGTCCCACCCACAAACGCCTAGCTTCCGTTGCCATTGCAATGCCCTGTCCTTTGTCAAGTGTCGTCCAGAGTGACAGTGACAAATCAGCCGGACCGCCAAAATTGATGGCGGACTGCGCCATATGAACGACCTGGCCTAGCCTGAGGGCACAGCCGCAATAATGACGACCATCGGAGATAAAGGCCGACGGCATGGCGCGCCCTTTGGCCGCGGAGAGTTGTGAGAGGTGTCAACACCCAACACCCAAGGGGGAAAAAAAGAAATACTTTGGTACTTTTTTGACTTGGGATTTGAAAAGAGGGTTTCGTCCATGGCGGCTCGATTACTTTGGATAAACGATGGAAATTAAATGATACCCCCGTTGTATAACTCTGCACAATATCATTCTTTGTCAACACTCAACCGCCAAGATAATGTCAGAACGGGGTCAACATGATAGTCCGAAGGTTCGATGGTCCGAAGGTTCGATATAGTCCGAGCACAGAAATTTTCCATAACCAGGGCATTGCCAGGGTAAGGTTCGTTAATAATCCGAATTGATGCGGAAAGTCAGAAGGTTCGATAATCCGAAGGTTCGTTTCAGTTGTCCGACGGTTCGATAATCCGAAGGTTATACTCCGAAGGTTCGATAATCCGAAGGTTCATTTGTCCGAAGAAGGTTCGGTAGTCCGAATTTAGAATGAGGTGAATTAGTCCTAAGGTTCAATAGTCCGAACTAAGGTTCCATAGTCCGAAAAATCGTGGCTCCTGGTGTACTGACATTTGCAAGAAAAACTTAATTTTTCCAAAGCTGGTCGGCCTACCAGTGTTGGCGAAAACTTTTTTTTTTATTCTTCAAAAAGTGCTCCTAATTTTTCATATTTAGTTATCCTGCATTTCCTTTACAATTGATTACACACCTGATAAGGGGTACAAGCCTGCTAGACTGATTCTTTGACAGGTACAATTCCCCAAAGTCTATACATTACAACTTAAGTGGGGTCAGGGAACCAGACTTCAAGAACATGATTGGTTTTTTTTGGTTTTTCCAGCATATACAAGCCCAAAACGTATTTGCTGTAACATATCCTCCAAATCCATTTATTTCTGAAAACTGCAGCAAAGCAAATGTTTGCATTCCCTTTAATCCGAAAGCACAGGTTAAATACTCAGAATTTACAATAATGTTCACGGACCAATGCTGTCCATTCGGAAGTGAAGCCATCAAAATTATTTCTCTGGATTTCTCTGGATTAGTCATTAGCTCAAGGGTTGTTTAGGGTGACGCTATCCTCATGGTCTGACTGACATTAGTAAAAGCTGTGGAAGGAGCTGGAAGGGGGTGGGGAATGCAAATGTATAACTCGTGTGGCCCGCAGCAAATGATTTTATTATGTATCATTTCCATATTTTCCGTACTTTACTTACAAACAAGCGACGTGCTGTTTTCCTGTTTATTTGCCACTGCTATTTAAATACCCCCCCCCCCTTTTTTTGGGGGGGGGGGGAGGGGCGGGGCCTACTTCTCCATTGTTATATAAATCGCAAGTTTCATGCGTGTTGTTATTGCAATGTTGTGATGTTCATACCACTGAGCTATGTCCCATTATCATGAGAGACAAAGAACGATAGACGCGGTATTACTATTAATGCACTTATCGGCCGCTAGATGGCGCTATGTCAATTTCACGTATCGGGTAGTGGTTCGGCTGCAGCTGGTGCGGAGCACTTTGGTGCGGAGTCTGCGGACCGTCCCTAAGGGTTGTTTTACTGGTTGACCAAGTGCTTTCTTGATCTTCACTTTGCTCTTAATTTTTAGCTAAACGCAATCTAGAAAATTCCGACGCATTTCCCGCGGAACAAATTATCCCGAACTTGAACGGCGCTGAATGCAGAACACCAAAATGAAAGTTACACAAAATTACAAGTTTTGTTTATTTTTGTAACAAGAACCCTATTTTTCACGATTGGCTGTGTATTTTAACGTCCCGTGGAAAGCGAATAGCGCCACCTATTGTCTGACATTGATCCTGATGTCGGTTTTTAACAGCGCCCCCGTGGGAATATGGTATCGAGCCCCCCCCCCCCCTAATTTAGTTAATTGTACGGAGGCCGGGTGTCCGGTGAAAAAAAAGGTAAGCACGGATGAAATTGGGCACCTCCACTGTAACATTAAGCCGCCCCCCCCCCCCCCCAGAATTAGAACCTTGGCTATGCCGCTGGTCACGCCCTTAACAACAAGCTAGCAAAATTCATTTAATACCCTAGCACTTCACTGGTGTATTCGAGAGGTGACACAACGGTACTTTCTTGATGATTAGCGCAGGGGGACATCCTGAAATGGGTGAATCGCTTTCAACAGTCGTAGCTCCGTCCTTCATCTTCAATTAGCCCATGTTGGACGACGTCTCCATTGCATTACGACTCTTATAATAATATCCTCCTGCGCGCACAGAATTTGGACAAAGCCAGCTTGGTTATGGTTGTATTTCCATAATGTTGTAATATTTCCATAATTCCCCCGCACCCCACCCCATCCCACTCCCACCCTATTGATTTTACGGATGCCAAGTGTCCGGAGAAAAAAACCTGTCTACATTTCAGCATTGATTTGCTGATGACCGCCCCCCCCCCCCCCGCAAAAATCCTGCATTCGCCACTGAGCTGGGGAAGGAAATAGGTCGGCAAAAAAAAGACCGAAGTTTAATATGCAGGATGAATGGGACGAGGATTCGACGTTATTTTACGTGAATAGTGTGACCGTCAGTGCGCCCTCGTGCGGCTACGAACAAAGAGGTTTTTTTGCCTTGGGGCGTATAATTTTGTTAATAAAGTTCCTTCCGCCTGACCGCCTCATAATAAAAAAAAGTCCCCTCCACCTTATTCATTTCGCATGCTGCCTAGACAGTGTGACAGACTACAAACATGAACTAACCATGTTCATAACAAAGAAATTTGTGACACATTATGATCCTTGTTGACACAATCTGAAGAGACTGTGTTTGGGGGCCTATTTAGCTCCACTGGCAATGCACGCGACAGGTTCGTGTACAGCTAACACTCACCTTCCGCCTCTACCGAATACCCTCATACCGCCTTTTCCAGTTCTGCAAAATTTTGTTATTGCTTTAAAAAACAACAACCTCGACAATTACAAAGGCAGTGTTGTAAGGACTCGAGTCCAGGACTCGGACTCGAGTCACATTTTTCGTGACTCGGATACGCGGACTCGACTCGAGTGTCTAGCCCCGTGTCTAGCTCCCCCCCCAAAATAAATTCCTTAAAAAAAAATTGCATTAGCAAAAAAGAAGGATTGTGATGTACATGCGAACGGTCTCCCCCTAAAGAAATAGTCGTGACAAGGGTGCATTAGTTAATATAGTGTGACTGTGAATGATTTTAGGATTGTATCGGCGCTCCCCATTGAAAATATGGCATGAGCCCCCCCCCCACCACCCCCCCCCCCCCCACCCCACCTACTGGTTTTCGGAGGCCTAAGTGTCTGGAAAAAATAACCGGTCTACATTTCAGCACGCCCCCCTGAAAAAAATTCTGGATCCACCGTGCTAGCCCCCCCCCCCCCCCCAAATATTGGTTCTAGAACCGCGCCTGCAGGTATGCTATCCATGTACAATGAGTGCACTCACATAAAATTGACAAAAATAACCGGACTAGTTCTTGCCATGTACCAAGCTGACAAATATAGTGAGACTCAATTATGTTGACGCAAAACCTTTGGTGCACTCGTTTTCCACGACTCCCCTTTGCTTTGCGGAATTAAACCATCCACAGAAAAAAAATGTCATGGTAAAGTTCACGTGTGAAGTACGAATGTGCCATTTCTAGATCATATTAAATCGGATAGAACGGTGCTCGGCCAGCCACCACCCAGCCCACGTGTACGTACGTGAACATGCACGAGAAAGTTGCATGTTGGTATAAATCAACATTATGAGAAAAATAATCATGATACTGGATATTATTTTGCTCCACCAACACACCTCTGCTTCGAATTCGTGACCCGGCGGTGGCACAAAATAAGGTACATGTTCCTCAAGTGAGAACCAAATTCTGTTGTCAATTTGAAGCACCTCAAATTTTGTGCGACCATAGGGTGTGACCCATAGTTTTAACAGTATGTTACAAATTGAACGGGCCACGCCGCGGCGGGGGTTTGGCAATTAATGACCTTTTCTCGCAGAACAGGTCGGAAACCCTGACCTGACAAGGAGAGGGTCGGAGGAGTGGGATGGCCAATCCATAAGTATAGACGTTTTAGATATCTGCCATGTAGTTCTAACTCTGGCTATAGGGGCTACACAAACTTGATGCGAATAACCTAACGGGTCTTCCCAGTGCTGAGCAGCATCGCCGAGAATTGAGTGCTTCCCACATTACCATGAAAATAAACTAGTATTCGGTGTGTCGCCCCCCCCCCCCCAAAAAAGAGGACGGACCTGAGGCCTGGGGTGCTGGCACCCCCCCCCCCCCCCCTCTCTCTCTCACGGTACTAGTGTAGCTAGGCCTCGCATTAATCACCGTGGTTTCTCCCAAGGGGCCTGCCCCTCTTTTTTTTTTTTGCTCGCATATACAATCATTGCGAAGGCAGTAGATAATGTTGTGCCAGTGGTAACATTACCAGTTCATGATAAGCTCATGTTCGGCTTCGCTTGTCCAATTCGAGCGAGTCGATGATAATCAGTGGAGCAGAAACAGGACCTTCATCCGGGAATGTATTTAAAGGCCATGGACTCAACCATTGTGCATGCGTGTACACTGAATGCATACGTGTACAAAACTGTATTCACGGCGCCACACGCATACAAATACACCCAGCTCTAAGCTATAAATCGTGTGTGCAGTACATATGAGTTTGGTGTATTGGCTTTAATGGTATCGGTGGACACGACGCGGTACGGCTACATGAAGCGATTTTTGACCCCAAGAAAAAGGCATCAAAATTCCTTGTTTGACGTCTGCTGCTTAAAGGGTAGGTAAAGAACATCGCAAAGACGAAAAAGATGTATTATGATGATTTCCATACCGCCTGATCGGGCAGTAAAAGGGATTTTAGTACCGGGGTCGCCGCCAGTAGATTGGGGTTGTGTTATGAATATGAGCACGGGCGGGCATGGTGCGTTGGCTCTACGTAAAGCTGCCTGTGCGTGGCACAATGGCGCCGTAACTGCGCCAGGGCTTTGTTTGGCTCAAGCCGGCGAATCGACCTATGTACACGCAATGTTCAGTGTAAGCCGTTAACAAAATAATTGTAAATGTTTATAGCGACCGACGATGCTGGGTCAGTGGGTGTTTTGGTGTGGTTATTCTTCAGATCAGATCCATCATTCGACGTGAGCAATAAAAAAGATGAGGTACTATGCCACTGGTACAACTTACATAACTGCATTTTGCATGCATAATTCACGGCCCCAGCATGCAAAAGTAACGAGAGTGGTGTCCAGCTGTCTGAAAATTGTGCATTGTGCTGTGATGTTTGTATGATGTCTATGGAAATTCTGCTAACCATATAGCCTAGGCTATTTTGTAATGCATTAACTATATCCCATAGGGAAAAAAATTCTGCTCCCGGTTTCCCTGCCTACCCTATTCTGACAGCCCCTACCCTAATTTTTGGAAAAATGAGAAAAAAACCACCCCAAAACCATCAATTACAACCTTGTACCCTTGACTACATGGAGACACCTCCATATGATTGTACACACCCCCCCCCCCCAAAAAAAATGCCCTACCTACCTACCTACATGTACCCGATTTTTGAATGCCATGTAATCGGACGATTTTTTTTTTAGGGGGGGGGGCCCCTTAGCATAAACTTCAGACATTAAAAAAAAATATAAACAGGTAGGCCTGTACTGCATGCAGGAGCTATATATCTCCATCACCCTCCATGGTATAAAATGTGAACATATTACAATACTTTGGGAACTTGCACATTTTTTGTTGAATAATTGGTCACGATAATTTAAGGGTACAAGAAGACATAGTGTTGAAGCACATTATAAAGAGATTTAGCCTTGGATGTAAATTAACATTAAGGATTATAGTTTCAGCTAGAGGTTCAAGGGTTAATTTGTAGTCAGACCACAGTGGATTCATGAGGGGACCTAGTCCAAAAATTTGGGACTCTCAATACTGTGTATGAGAGTCCCAAAACTTAAGGTACTGAAAACATGCAATACAAGAAAATAGACTGGCACATGAAACAACCAGTCCAACAACTCTTCAGTACTGCATCCATCAACTGTCAGCTGACTGTGCCAAAAGAAATATCGAGGATGTCGGGTACTAGGTCACTATTTCTACACATTTCTCCATAGTCAAGCACCAGACTAATGACAATGAATGAAGAAGTCAGTGTTGTCAAACAGTTGGACCATGGATGGACATGTACAAGTCTAGTCTTTAGCCTCATTTTGAAATCACTTGACTTCCCTCTCATACATGTGCAAGCCACTGCTAAATATTGAGGAAAAGTCTCCTTTAAAAATTGAGTCTTCAAACATGGTTGGTGAAATACTGAGGACCTTTTCTTTGCCCAGTGAAAGTTTTGGAGTAATTTTGAGTCAGTAAAGTTGGTCTGATCTTCTTTTGCATCGTTTTGAGCACTTAAGGTCCCAGCCTGAAGGGGACCTCCTCTCCCCCCCTTCCTTCCCTCCGCCTACAAGTAGCCTGATTTATTTTTTAAGTCCCTCTTAGCACCCCTCCACATTATCAGCACTGTTTGTAGGATTGAGGAAGTTAATAAATCCAAGCCACTATACTTATTAACATGGGAGTTGGCGCCTATTAAAAATGAAAGTTTATGTATTGTATTTCCTGCATGTATGATTTTTTCGAGGATTCATGACGGTTTTAATATGCAGAAAAGTTACTTGTCTGCAAAGTTAGGGATAATGAAAATGCATGTATGCATACATAGGAAGCTACCAATGTGAACTTTATTGTCCAGATGTTAAAGGGAATATACATCATTTGCTTTTGCTGTAATTTTCAGAAATGGATGGAATTGGGGGGTTGGAGATATATAGCAAATTTATATAGTTACACTGACTTTTTTGAGGTTTTGGGTTCGAAAATGCTATAAAAACCAAGAAAAACAATCATTTTCCTGTAGTCTGGTTCCCTGACTCCATATAAGAAGAAACAGAGCAGTTTACATACATTGGGGAATTGTAAGGTCAGGGAACCAGTCTAGCTGGCTTGTACCTGTTCGTAGGTGTGTAATCAATTGCAAACAAGTGCGATGGTCAATTGGGGCCAGTATTTGAAAAAAAGCCAGTTTTTTTCCAACGCTGGTCGGCCGACCAGCGTTTGAAATTGATACAAAAATACCACTTTTCTTGAAAATGACAGTATACCAGGTGCCATGATTTTACAGGATGCTTTACACTGTCATTCACTAACAGTCCAGCAAGGTATTTCAAAATGATTTGGTAGTTTTATTTTTGATGTTTGCAAATGTTGTATTTTCCCTTTAAAGCCTTTAAAAAGTCTAAATCATATGAACTGTGTCTTCATAAGAAAAAAAATCTCATGATCTCATATTAGTTGTATATATGCAGTCATGTCTTTCCTTAACGCCAATCAATATTCTTTTCATCTAGACTGGCATGGGCATTGCCAGGATGGGGCAAGGGGGACGCTTGCCCCCCCCCCCCCCCCCCCCCCCCCCCGGAGAAGCAAAAAAAAAGCAAAAAAAAAGGAAAAGAGGTGTGAAGTCATATTTACTATTAATTTAATGCACATTTAACAAAATGGGCGTCTGCAGGGGTGTCAATGGGGGTGGGGTGGGCAAATGTCCCCCGCCCATCCTCGAAAAAATGATAAATTGAGATTATGCAAGAGAAAGTGCAAGGATTTGGGGGGGAAAAGTGCTTTGCTTCCACCCCCCCCCTAGAAAAAAATCCTGGCGACGCCCATGTAGACTGGCAATTTGTATCATATATTCTGTATATCTTCCTCATTTTGTAGTTATCACACAAGCACAAAGAACATGTAAGGATGGTAGCACCTTGACCGTTGAACTTTGATCTTTTACCTTAAAATTACATATAAACAGCTCTACTCCAACTTTTTTACAACAGAACTCGATACAATTATCGGAAAATGAATGATTTAAAAAAATGATATAGAATAAAACCGCAACAGCCACATCAATGAAACTTTGATTCTGATGGGCTTTAGTCATTGGTTAAAGCCCATCTGCAAACATTCAAAAAGACAAAATGCCAAAATATTATACAATAGTCTACTTGTTTGAAAGCAAATAAACGTATCAAAAATCCTGTGACATTGTCATGCCCGGTGTGCTGGTATTTTCAAGGAAAGAAGAATTACCGCCATTTCCCAATGATGGTTTGGACTGAACCATCATTGGAAAAATGGCTTTTTTCAAATACTACCTCCACTAATGGGCACTAGCCAGCTATTACGTTACTCGTTAGGTACATGGCTTTTAATTTCTTCCCACGTAGTCTGCAGTAGTTTATAGCTGTGGGTAGAAGCTCAACAAATTGTCATGTCTGTCCGTTAGTTCTAAAGTTAGTTAATAGTTAGTCACATTTTTTTGTAGTTAGCAACAAATGTTGACATTGTCTATTGCTCCTACATATTTTGACCCATTTCAACCAAACTTTGTCAAAAGTATCAGTAGCCCACCCCAACATATCACATGAACAAACTAGGGTCAAAGGTCATCATGGGGTCACTGGGGTCAAAAAGCTGATTTTGTTTACTCAAAACACTACTGGGGTCAAAGTCAAAATAACATCAAATTTCAAATAAGCTCAAATAACAAAAGTAACGCTGTCACCATGTTGGCATTGGTCAAACATTAAAAAGTATCCATGGTGACCCCTTCGTCTGACCTACAGTTATGGGGTCAAAGGTCAAAATTGGTCAAATTCCAAAGAATCTCAATGATAAAAGTAGCACTGTCAACATGTTGGCCTTGGTAAAATAAATGGGGACCTTTTATTCTGACCTACAGTTATAGGGTTAATGCAATATGGTCAAAGTAGGTTACATGGCACAATCACGTCACTCATGCATGAACACAAAATCGTTGGCCCGCAGCTTCCAAGATCATTTTTGTGCTTGTATTTTTCATATTCAGGTTTAAAAAAAAAGGAACAACCTGTTTTTTTTTTGACACAACACATTGAGCAGGTCAGCGGAATTAATAAATTACTAGCTCTTAAAAACTTTGGCTTAAAATGCAAATGATATACAATACCTTTGTCATGAAACAAAGCTTTCTGGGTCCAATTTCACAGCGCTGCTAAGCACAAAAATTTGCTGAGCACAAAAAATGTCTGGCTTAGAAAAGCAGGTTACCAGCCAAAACTCTGTGTGATGTATATTGCTCGTGATTAGCATTCAGCTGTTGTTTGCTATAGCATGAAAATCACGTGGAATTTGGCTGGTAAACTGCTTTTATAAGCCAGGCTTTTTTTGTGCTAAGCAAATATTTTTGCTTAGCAGTGCCGTGAAATTGGGCCCTGTTGTGTTGGATGTATTGTTACCACAATGCTGTAAACTGGTTTCCAGTTTCCAGACCCTGACTTTGGATGCAGAATGATGCCTTTCAAGCCCAAACAGTGGTAATTCTCTAACCCTTGGCCTCATATTACTGTAATATTGAGCCAGAGTTTCCTCCGTGCGGGGAGCCTAGAAAAAAATATCTGGAGGCCGAAGACATGGCTATGAAAACTCTCAAAATGTCAAATGATCGGAGTGGTCTCTTGGTGGCGCTATTTTATTGTCTACACCAAAGCCTTAGTCCCTGTTCCAATTACATGGCTGTGGCTGGAAATTACACAAGAGGCAATGGGAAGCGGCTGGCAGCCACTTCCCATAGACCTGTGTGTTATTTCTAGCCATGGTAAGGCCAAAAAAACTCCATAGTTCTGCTTCCAATTACATGGCATTTGAAAATAGGGTAGGTAGGTAGGGACAATTTTTTTTTGCCCGATTTTTTTGTGTACGTTCATATGGAGGCGTCTGCGTGTAGTCAAGGGTAAAAGGTAGAAATTTATGGTTTTGGGTGTTTTTTCCCTCATTTTCTCATAAGAAAAAATGGGTAGGGGCTGTCAGAATAGGGTAGGCAGGGAAACCGGAAGCAGAACTATTATTTTTTTGGCCAATAGAGAATGCAGGCCAACACAGTTAAAAAATTAAAAAGTTCCAAAAATTAAAAAAAAATAACGTTCAATTATAACTCAACATTTGAGTGTGACATTTTGAATGACTGAAATATGAGTAAATTAGTGCGAAACTACCTTGGAGCATTTAATTTGTTTTCTGAAATTGAAGTTGGAAAAATATTTTAGAAATGTAGGTTTGGATTAGCGAGGTATATGGCCATTCATTTCTTTGCAATTTACATTGTGCCAAAGCACTGTGTTAAGGCCGCGGTTCTTACTTCATGCGAATGCGATGCAAATTTGACGTCACAAAGCATTCTCTGTCAAATTCACAGTAGTTGTAATGTGTTCAACTTTTGCAAATTCGCAGTGCGAAAACTTACCCTGGCGTCACAAATTCACGTTCGTGTTTGCTTTCGCGCCGAGTATGAACCGACCTGTACAGTTAAGAGTAAACTACACAGTATATTGACATCATGACTACAGTGGCTAATCAGTTTGGGGTGGTCACGTGATCACTTGATTATGAATATATGGGTATAGCCAATACTACACTGACAAAATGTTACATCATCTCCTTCCTAGTTAGACTCACTTCCTCCACAACAGTTCACGCACATTATACGTACATGTCTGTTAAACAAACGATCGCTTGCAATTTTGCATCATACTTTTATAGAACTCTTTCACAAATTAGTACCTCACCCCTCTAAAAGTATCAGTAGCCCAGCCCCAACATGTCACATGACCAAACTGGGGTCAAAGGTCATCACTTGCCCTGGCGTCACAAATTCACGTTCGTGTTTGCTTTCGCGCACCTAATATGGTAGAATGTTACCATTGGTGTGTCTGTAGTGTTTATATTCTTGCAGACGTATGTCATTTTGTTTTTTGCACAGCGTAATGTTTTTAGTGTTACCTAATATGGTAGAATCATATTTTTTGGAGTCAAAAAACTGATTTTTTTTAAACTGACTTCCAGAAATAACATGGCACAATCATGTGACTAATTTGTTGGCCCGCAGCTTCCGAGATCCGATCGAGCTTGTTTATTGTTTTATTTCATTGGAGATTTCCATCAACCTTTTTATAACTCAGAAAAGACTTTTAAAGACGACCCAAAACAAAAGGTAGTATTTTTCCCTTCTGGTAAGATTGATATTGTTGCAATAATCTAGTATCAAAGGGGAGATAAAAGTTCAACTTATGTTGTTTTTTTCCCCTGTGCAGGATGTCCTGACTCGGTTATCATGAAGCTAGTCCTACTATCATAAGACATAGGAGTTGGTTACATTATTGAGGTGAGTGGAGTTAGCCTTGAGTGCATTCGATTACTTCCCCTGCCCAAGCGCGACAGCGTTGGATTTACCTCTCACGTGAAGTCTCGTGCTTACTCGAGCCTGGCCCAAGTAACCGACTCACCGAGCGGGTTACTTGGGTAAGTATCCCATAAGGCCATGCAATAAACATGGCTGCCAACATGACGGCCAGCAGGCGCCTCAGACCGTGTCTGAAACGGGCTTCCAGAGCTAGCTACGGCTATACTTCTATTGTCAGCGCGTCCCCGCGTTTTTTCAATGGGCGTGGACCTAGACCTAGCTCTAGACAGTTGATTCGGATGCAGCCTGCGTCATGTCAAGCTTCAACTTTCCAGCTCTTGGACCAAATTTTACCCAAAACTGTTCGTTTAATTTAGCTCCACTGCGCATGTCTGTCATCACACGAGGAGCCAGGCGCGAGTAAGCTGGGGGAAGTAATCAAACGCACTCCTTGCAAAACCATGGAACAGTTTCAAGGAGTTACTTATTGCAGAAGTTTACCAAGTCCAGAAGAGATTTGCTAACAAAAGACTAGCCTTGATGGCAAGACTGTGACGTATCAGCGTGCGCGCATCACTGGCCGGCCTACATGTAGCTTACCTGGCTCTGGCCCCCTGTAGTGCACACACGGCGAAACTCTGATCCGCCGTACAAAGCCCGCAGTGCATATTCAAACTACATGTGTATACCACATTATACTGTACGGATACACACTGCACTGCACACATACCTGTACACCCACGTTTGTTTATGGTGTACATGTAAATCACGGATTTTCGTTGTTCCTCTTCCCTTTTCCTTTGTTTATACTCATAACTTTTTCACAACAGCTCTCATTGGTTTTGTACACGGTTTCTAATCGAGGTCGTCCTCCATTTGGTTCCTGTCCTCAATTCATCAATGATGTTGCATGTGTGTGTCCTCGATTTACACCATAAACAAACGCACGCACTGCCCCAATGTGAGAGTTACAATGTACGTACATGTGCAGCCTGCGTTTACACTGTAAACTGTACATATACATGTGCGAGTCATGTTGGATCACAGCCTTGATTCAACTTGCAAGTTTTGTGTCTTTCTTAACTTTTTGACGGGATTCCGTTAAAATTGGGGAGGAAGGGGAGGGGGGTGTGAGTGGATATGCAAAAAGTATGTTTGTCAGTGGCCAATCATGTCACAGGTCAAGATGGCTGGTTTGGCAATGCCGGCGTGGGCGCGGCGCCACCCATGCCATGTTTTTAAACAGTCTGCCGTGTCCAATTGAGGGCAACTCGGATTCCGTTCTACCGTAATCAGCTCATTCTCAGTAACATAACTGCAAAACCCGGAAGTTAACAGTTGAATCAAGACCCTGGGCACGGGCTGTGACTCCACATGGGACAGTACTGCGTGTATGCACGTGTACAGTGTTTCCGAACAATGTGGTGTAGTTTGAGTATGCATACGCTGTGCGTATGACGGATCGGGATTCGCCCTGTGTGAGAACGTGTAGCCTGGTAAGCTACACTGATACAGCACATACACACAGCCGTGCATTCAGGCTAACCAAATGCAGGTTACTGGCCAACATTCATGTGATTCTTTATTGTTTTTGACTGACCAACAGATTTTTAACGTTTGCTAAGAACAATTTTCTGTTTTATTAGCAACTTCACAAAAGTTTAGCTCAGGGGAATATTTCATTAAGTTTCTAAGCATAGCATTTCACCATGCATACAAAATGTTTGCTATTGCCGAAACCGTTTACCAGCCATACATTGTACGATGTCATGCAATGGCGGCCACCGATCACTAATTTAAATGTTATGTTTATATTTTTTACTTGTGTATAGGAGGATATAAGGATATAAGGTGGCACCTATGCAACTTCCCCCCCCCCCCCCCCCGGAATTTTCCCCAGGCTACTGTACAAGCAGATCAATCTCTTGAATTTTTAGTCAGTCCCATTGGTTTCCAACACAGCGGTGGATTTTGAAGGATTCAGTACGGTTCCTAGCTACAATTCCAAGAGTTTAGGTTAAATGCTATCATTTTACTTTAACCGAACAGCATGGAGTCGGATAGCAGCAAGCTAACCCACCAAGACACAGCCCAAGATGGGGCCACGGTAAGGAGCATCTCAGAGAGGACTGCGGGAAGGAGAAACCAGGCAACAGAGATTGCATCATCGTCATCGTCTATACAGCCAGAAGGCAAAGGGGGAATCACTAATTCACCTGCTGTGGTTAGTAGAGTCCCACAAATTCAAACTCACTGATGTGTCATATTTTCAAATTTCCATTTATTAGCTAAAACTCTTGGCAAAAAAAAAAATAATGCTGTGTTTCTGGTAACCTGGTCGACCCTACAATTTTGGGTGTACATAGGGTCGGCAATTGAATTTTTTTGTGTGTGGATAATTTCATACTTGTATGTCTACTTGCTAAGTTATCTTCCAATGTGTACATGTACATATTGTGTAAATAAATTATAAGAAATAAAACACAATTGGCGTATCAAATAGTTGTTCTTACATACCTGGGAGTTAGTAGCTGAAATGACATAGATGACTTAGGGCGGGACCTCTCTATCTCCATTTTGGGACACAGAGGGGGGTTTGTTCTGATGTCTATAACCACGGATTGTGTTGTTCAGTATAAATACACACAAACTGAAATTGCATTTGTGGTTTAATTTTCAGGGTGGCACATGCATGGGCTTCAATTTCTGTGTGACAAACGACTTGCAGGTTCATCCCTAGACTAAAGATGATGATTCTTGTATCATTAAAACACATCCTCAGGTGATATTTCAAACAAGCCAATGGTTGTTGTTCCTTTTTTTATCCTCCAGATGAACCCAAGTGCAGTGCTCATGCAACCTTCCCAATGTGATCAAGGCCTTCAGTCAGGCAGTGAAACTCTAAGATTGGCCAGCTCTCCTCCAAGCGTGGACGCTGAACAGTTAACCGTAAGCAGATCATTTAGAGTTCCAGGTCCTGCAGCAGAATCTGCCTGTAGTCCGGTTGGCAGCATAGCATTAAATGCCTCCCGTCCGCTTGTGTTGATAAAACAAGGGAGTCCATCCGAAAAACTGTTTTTGTATGCACATGGATCCACGGGGACCAACTTTCAAGGGAGCTTGCCCTTGAACTTGAAGAAGGTGGCTATCAGTCAAAACGATGCTAGCTGTGTGGAGAAAGTCACTAGTGTGACTGTATCTTCCAACAAGGAAACCGTAGACGTGGGTGGAAATGGCAAACCTCCTTCTAGCCTGAATCCGCAGGACCCAAACTTGGAAGACACTGAGCTGGCAACTCTCCAAGGGAAAAGTCAGTCAAAGGAAGTTCCTGCAAGTCCACTCATCAGCCTGCGAAGTGCAAAGAGCACAGACGAGTGCTTTTTGGGTCAGTTGGGACTGAAGAAAGTTGAAGAGTCTCTGCAAGCCAGCTCAAAAACCGAGGATGCAGTAACGAAGGAGCATGCAGGGAAATATCGTAGTGGGAGAGGAGTTGACCAACAAAGGGTTGGTGAGAAAGATGGGTCAGGAGATAGCAGAATCTCCAAGGAAGAGTCTTTTAAGGAGCATGATGCACAAGTGAAAAGCTCTCCTGGACAAGTGCCTCAGCCCAAACTCCCACAAGCAAACCAACCTCCAAAGGCTGTTCCTGTTGCTGCTTCAAAGGTTCCCACAATGGTGATCAGTCACGTGGGTGATAACAACAGCCTGGCAGAAGTTGACATCTCTGGTTTGAGCAATGTCCTGAGTAAAGATGGTCAAGCCTCTAGTGTTCCCACTAGTAATGCACCAACCGTTTTTGGGAAGAACACACCAATATACATCAAGGTTAAACTGGAAGAGAAGGATGTAACAGTAATTTGCTGCCCAGTTGCTCTGCTACTGCAGCACAAGGAGATCTTAGATGTGACCCTCCAAGCTAACGATCCAAATGCCTACTCCATAAAGTGTCGCAAGTGCTTGCACGAAGTCTCAGAACCATATGCCATGCTGCAGCACCTTAAGGCACAGCACCAGATTCAGGGGTGCCTACAGAAGCTACTGAATCTGAACAGCCAGCACCTGGGTTGCATGAGCAAGCCAGTTTGTGTGAACATCCCTGGTGTGTTGACACTACCCGATGGACTCTCCGACATGGAGCAAGGTGTAATTCGCTTCAACAGCTTGGGTATACCAAGACTGAGCTTTGTCTGTCGGCTCTGCCCACTGAATTTTCACTCTGCAAGAGGCCTCAGTTCCCACCATCAGTACTTCATTAGGTCCTTGTACAACAAAAGCCAGCACTCTGTTAACAACTCAAGGTGGTTCTGCAGGATGTGTCCACGGCAGTTTCGTAACTTTTCAGACTATTATGCCCACCATAAGTGGATGCGCGTTGCCAAAGACTTGTTTGTCAACACAGACCAAGTAAGTAAGAAGAAGTTTCAAGTCATGGATGAGTCTGGAAAGGTAGTTGCCAGCGTGGAAGTTCCCAAGAGTCACAACTTGACCATCAAGACTTGCCCAGCAGCAAATTGTGACTCCAGTGAGAATATTGGCTGGGGACGTAAGCCAAGCCTTCTCGACGATGGATCTCCTCTGGGTAGATTGGATCCACTTGTCCCTGACATGAATGAACATTCACTTGATAACGATGCTCAAATTCTGGTGTTCAACACAGCAATTCCTATATCAACATCAGAGGGTACGAGCTACAAACAACAGACAGAAGCAGAAAAAGAGAAGAAGACAGCTCCTCCACTTTTTCAAACACTAGACAGCCTGTGTCGGAGGCTTGCCCAGCGAGTGGATAGCTCAACCAGCTTAGACAAACTGATCTCCGTAGGGGACAAGCAAGTGGACGATGACCATGAATATATGTGTGGTATATGCCACAAGACCTTTCCAAGATTACCTCAAATGCAAGGCCACATGGGCAGCCATGTAAGGAAGCGTCGGACCAATAAAAGTGTACCACCTGCCCTGGCAACAATAGCCACTCCCCAAGCTGAACCACCGTCTGTTGAGCCACCCCCAGCACCGGAGCCTGTGGATGTCGAGTACAAGTGTGGTGTCTGTCATAAGACCTTCCCCAAGCTGGCCCAGATGCAGATCCACAGTGAATGCCACAACAGGTCCCATCCAGCCAACAAAAAACGCATGAAATCCCTTGACACTCCCTTCCTTGAGACCGTGAAGCTTATGTCATTCACCTGTGACATGTGCCAGTGGAGCTTCCCAACAGAGACTAAGCTTTGGGACCACAGGAGGATTCACAACCAGAAGAAAATTGATGATGACGAGACCAATATGTTCTCAAAAGCTTCTGGGGATGTACAGAGGAAGACCTTGTTTGTCTGTGCCTACTGCAAAAAGTCATTTGCCAGACAAGTGAATTTGTTGTTCCATTTAAAGAAGCATGGAACAGAACAGCTTCCACCAGGCTTAAATCGTGTATCAACTTGCTCCAGTCTGAGGGTTAAGGAAGAAGGAGAAGTCCAAATGATTGCTAGTCATAATCCAGATTTGGAGTCTCGTTCTCATGCTTGTTCTCTATGTGGCAGCGCATTTCACTCCCAAAGGCAGCTAAAAAGTCACAAAGCTTGGCATGCTAAAGTCCAGAAGGGGTCAGATGAGCCCCCAGTGTCCCTAATGGAAACTGGCAGCACATCAAAGAATACATATATTTGCAACACATGCAACAAGATTTGCAGCTCTTTTGGGGAACTACATGATCACACTAAGCAGCATGCCACACCTCGGAGGTTACTGGTCAGATATTCTTTGGATGAGTCGGATGCTGTCAAGAAAAGGACCCTTGCTCAGAGAGCTTGCAAAGAGAAGAAAAACAAGGACGCTTCTGATGCCGATGCCCCTAGCAATAAAAAGAAGGGACGGTCTACCAGACGTAAGACAGAAGGCTTGTTCAAGTTCTTTTGCAGAAACTGTCGCTCGTACTTCAAATCGAGTCAGCAGTTTGCAAGACACATGGCTGTGCATTCCAACTTGGCCGGCTCCAACTCCAGGTCATCCTCAGACAGCCCTTCGGACAGCGCCGGACATTCTAAAATCAGCGAAGATCCAGCACAAAAACTGAAGGAAATTGAAGTAAGTGGTGATGATTCAAGTGATGAGACAGACGTGAGTCGGTCAACGTCACCAAATGCAGCTGATGACCAACCCTCGGTGATCGATAAAGCCAGCCCACAGACAGGTGAAAACCTTGCAGAAGAAGAGGTTGGTGAAGTAACCAAGAACTCTGAGGTTAACGAAGATTCCAGTCTTGCAGTTGAGGACACAAGTCAGACTTTGAAGAAAAGTGTGACTGATGAACAATCCCCACAGGCCAGTGATAAATCAACTGAGGAAAAGTACATAGATCCTGTCGTTACCTCCACAGTTTGCAGATATGCAAGTGCTGAGATGGAAAATGCAGGGAAACAAAATTCATCTGATGAGGATTTCTCACAGACTTGTGATGAATCAGGTGAGAAACGGCTTGAAGCAGGCTGTGTGGACTCGAAAGATGTCAAAGAGACAAGCCCAATGCTGGTTGACACAAATAATGATGCGAGTTTAAATGAGACTATGGAAGGAACCGGAGAGGGCAAACTGGCTAAAAACTCCTTGGTTCACCACGATACAGTTTCCACTGTGGAGAACATCGGCTACTCAGCAACGCTAAAGTCACCAGCAGAAATTGTCTCTGAGGATGAAAAAGAAAGAGCCCAAAGCAGAAGTCCAACAATTCAAGTGATGCCTTGTGATAGTACAAATGTTGTGATGGTTGGAATGTGTCAAGAAGCAAGACCAAGCACACCCAATAAACAGCCATCTGAGAATTGTGGAGCACACTCTCTGGTTGATGATCAGTCCCTACAGAAGCACATGGCTGATTCCTCTACGCAGAGCACAGATTGTGACAATTCTCTTGCAGTGATTGAGAATAACGACCAAGGTGCTACACCAATTTCAATTACAGAAAGTGAAGCAAGTCCTACAGTGAATGAAGAGCATGAGGAATCAGTGCAGAAGGAAAGCACTCGCGTGACTGTCCAAACAGCTATTACTGATGATTTGAGTATAGCAGTGGAAGAGACCACGCCTGAAGACGGTTCGAGTCTGACAGATGCTTACTCCTGCAAGAGTTCATCAAGCGATAACAAAAACTTGGAAACAAGTCAAGTTCTGACAAAGAAACAACAAGATGATCAACTTCCTGATCCTCAAAAGCGTGAGAAAGATTCTTGCGCTAAAATGGAAACTGGAAGTCAGGAAAGTATAGTTGATGAACCACTGTTTTTAATGGTTACTGACAGTCTGCAGACCACACCTCCGACACTAGATGCGTCATCCCCAGTGATCTGTAACGTGCAGCTGAGTGAGAAGTCTGGTACAGTAATGGACACTGGAAGTCAGAAAACCAGACCAAGTCTGCATGAGGCACCATTGTTAGTGAGCAGGGTCAAACTCCCAGACGAAGATTCCTTTGCTATGGTTGTCGCTGAAAGTCAAGAAACCAGACCAATTATATCTGACGCACCACCCTTGGTGATCAGTAATGCAGATCCAGATGAGGATTCCACTGCTGCGATGGATACAGAAAGTCAGGGAAGTAGACAAAGTATACATGATGCGCCTCCCGTATTGAGCTGTGAGGTGCATCCACATATCAGCAATGAATCTACCCTAAGGGAGGGTAATGACCCAGGTGCAAATCCTGCACACGGTAGCAGTTCCAGTCTGATGCTAGAGGATACAAGAATGCCCACAATACATAAAACAACTGAGCTTCCTTACTCAGCGGGTGAGACAAGCTGGCTAGAAACTTCCTCAGTACAGAAACAGGATGTTAAACTGCTTGAAGACTCTGCAGATGGTGACAATGTGCAGAGCTGCAAGGCACCGGATAGTGACTTTTCTGAGCCACACTCTGCAGTAATTAATGACTCAGTTCAAGAGGACAGCAGTCAAGGCTCAAAACTGTGCACCTTGGAGACAAAGTCCCAAGAGAAGGAGATAGGACAATCAAAAACATTGGACAAACCCGAACAGCAACAGGATGATGAAATAAAAGTAAAGCTGCAGTTAGCCAGTGACGATGAGAATACAACTAACCAAGTTCCGGCATTAGGTCAGGCGGCTGAACCTGTGGCTGTTGATGATTCAGATTCAGTTGCAGTGGACTCAAGTGAGGAAACAAAACCACTCACGTGTGAGATCAAGCTCTTAAAGAGTTGTGAGGTACCCACAGTGAAGGAAGACAGCAAATCTACCGATTATTCTACAGCTTATGATGCTTCAGTTGGTGGTGTTGTCGGAATGAATGCATCTCAGGAGGCAAAAACAAGTTCATCTGATGCAGTTTTTGCAGAGAATAAGACGGGACAATCACACACCAGTGAACTCCCAGCACAGAAGGAGTCTGATAAGCTTACCAGGGATGTCACAGTTACTGTTAATTCGGATGTGTCACAAGAGGCAGATCAGAGCAACGCATCACCGCAGGAGACTCTTGGGGGCCTTCCGCAAACAAACGATGCATCAATAGACGAGCCAAAAGATGCTGAGCTGACTAAAGACATTGCAGATTGTGATGATTTTGCTGTACTTCAGAAAGCGAGTCCGGCAACAAGACCAAGTATCTTTGAAGCAATGACCCAGAATATTACCAAACCAAGTGAAGTACCTATGCAGGTGTCTGATGGGGGGATCTCCACCCCTTCCAGAGTAGGTGATGAGTCAAGCTCCGTGTTGGAAGATACTGGCAGGGAAGCAGGACCAACTGAATCGCCATATGAAGAGGGTGAAAAATGGGGCTTCCCTAGAAATATGCCACGATTCGCCTGTGACATCTGTAACAAGTCGTTTCCCAAGAAAGCCCAACTCCGTGGTCACATGGTAAATCACAGAAGATATGGGGCAGGACCTAAGAGCAGTCAAGACAACTCAGACAGCACTGTGGAGGCTTCTGCAGATGAACCAGTGGAATTTACAGTACTGAAAGATGCAGAACATGACACGGGTAACTCATCCAGCAGCTTGCCGATGAAGGGAGATGAGTTACAAGAGAAGAGTGCCCACGATCTCCCAGCAAACTCCACAGATTCTGTTGATCCAGTAGCAGAAGTGATCAGTGTGAATCAGCAAGTGAGACAGAGTATCTGTGATGCCCAAATGGCACCAAATCTCCAAAGTGGTGCCTCTCTTTCTCAAATCAAAGAAAAACCTTCACAACAACTTGATCCAGACTCAGAGATTGGTGACCAATCAACGGCAGTCTCGGGCAGTGCTGGTGAGGAGGTGAGAAAGGCAGCATCTGATGCAGATACTGACAAACTATCACAGGACAAGGCAATCACTTTGCGCTCTACAACTCGCAAAAGTGAAGTGGATGCAAGTTCAGAGGCACATCCAACTGATCTAAGTCAAAACCATCAGACCCTAGCACATTCCAAGAGGAATGATGGAGAAAAGAAGCCTTTAAGTTGTCCCCATTGTGAGAAAACCTACACCCGTATTAACCAGCTCAATGCCCACAAAAGAATCCACATGAGAGGAAGTAAGTTGTACAAGGACAACAACGGCAGTACAGATGGTGCAAAAGGCAAAGGTCGTAAAGTTCACAAGTGTCCCATCTGCCATGCATTATTTTACAATTACAAGAAGTTTTGTGGCCACAGAGGCGCGCACATTGCGCACAAGACAACACAGTTCAGGAAATACAACATGGCATCACAGGAGAGCAACTGCAAGGAGTCATCACAGAGTAAACCGAAGGTCTTGGAACCAAAAGTAACAGATTCCACCTCTGCAGGAGGCTCCAAAAAACTTGCTGGGAAGTTTACTTGCAAATTCTGTCCTGAAACATTCCAGAATGTCGCGCAGTTGAGAAATCATATCTTGGTCACCCATCCAATGACCAAGGGCAAGCCTTTCCTTCTGAAGCCATTCACATGCGAGCTCTGTGGCAAGTCCTTCACTAAGTCCAAACAGCGACAACTCCACATGAAGCTTCATGGCAAAAGGCGCCGCCGCCGATTTAAGAGGACCATGTCACTGCAAGACAGTGACCATTCCTATTATAAAAAGCTCCCAGCACAACGTGGGAATACATCTGCTGAGGGCGTAGAAACTCAGAAACCCAAGGTGGAAAGAGAAGAGAGAAAAATCAGCGAAGAAGAAAAAGCAATCCCAGATGTTGAAGCTCCCAAAGAGAAAGTCTTCAAGTGTCGGGTGTGTGACAGATCCTTCAAAAATCAATATCAGGTGGCTGGACACATGAGTATTCACAAAAGGTATCCCTGCCAATTTTGTCCAGCCTCTTTCACTCTTGCTAGACAGCTGTGTGGTCATCTCAAGGTCCATGGAGGCTCGCGAAAGAAAGTCATGGAAGAAAGCCCGTCCTTGGATGGTGAAAACCACAGTAGTGGTTTTAAAGCTTCCCAAAGTTCTCTTCTGTACATGGCGTCCCAACGAAAGACCCAATTCACGTCCAGCAGTCAAAGCAATGCGCTTCTTAAGAGGGTTATCAAGGTCTTTCTAACCGGCCCTAAGTCCAAAAAGAGACGTCTCAAAGGGAAAGCTGGTAAATGGTTGCAACCAAAAGGCAGCCTCAAGCGCGCCCTAATGAAACATCAACAAGCTCAAATGCAGAACATAATTGGGATTTTACGGAAGTCAATAATCTTGGAGATTGATGCTGATTCACACAGACTTGTCTATGAGTGTAAGGGATGTCAGAAGATTGCCTACTGCCACAAAAACATCCTTCGTCATTACCTTGAAAAACATTTGCAGTCAACTATTGGAATGGAGGATGTGCCGCAAGTAGCCAGCACTAGGAGGGAAGATGCAATGCCTGCTCCCAACCCACGCTTTCGGAACAAGTCCAAAATTGGATGCCCTATTTGTAAAGTTTCATCTGGCTTCCAGTGTCATCTGCACAATGAAGATGAACTCATCGCCATCGATGCGTTTCTGAGACATGATGATGACCAGGAGGTTTTGGCATGCGACAGTGGTGATGAGAGCTTCTCAAGACACAGTAAGCTGGTCCAGCACCGTCAGGACCATGCCAAGAGGCAACCAGGTGAGCCATTCCGCTGCTCTCAGTGTCCATTTCAGGCCAAATGTATCCAATCTCTGATGGACCATCAGCAGTTTCACTCAGAGAAGAGGGAGGAGAAACTACCCAAGGAGGCACCAGATGGCGAGAAGTTGATCAGCTGCCCGCATTGCTCCTTCAAAGTGAAGAACGTGTTTGGTCTTGCTGCTCATTCAAGGGTTCACAAAGGGGAGGTACGAGAAAGCGAGAAGTCGATCAGCTGCCCAGATTGCTCATTCAAAGTGAAGAACGTGTTTGGTCTTGCTGCTCATTCAAGGGTTCACAAAGACAAGGGACAAAAGAGAGCACTAGAAGATGAAAGACAGAGTCCCGCACCAAGCTCATCACCCAGTCCCGCACCAAGTCTTGAAGTCTCTCCTGAAAACACCCAGGCTTCATCTGATGGTACAAAACACAGAAAGAATGCCTATAACTGTTTTGCCTGCCCTAGGTACTTCTACACAGTAAAGGCTTACCAAAACCACATGAAATGTCATGAACAGTATTTCCAGTTTAAGTGCTCTGTGTGTTCCAGTTCCTTCTTGTCTCTCAGGATGTTGGATGACCACATCAAGTCTGCCCACTCTGTCAAACTGCCTTACACCTGCAATGAGTGCTCATTCTCTTCACAGTCCTTTGAGGCCATACAGAGCCATATTCATGTGCATTCTGAGGCTAAAGAGAAGAAGGAACGGCAGGCAAATTGGTCAGCGTACTTGAAGGCAGTTTTGCAGAGAAAAGTACCTGAGTCAACATCTGTCTCTCTTGATGAAAGGCTAACAGAACATACAACTCATCCTTCAAATGTTTTAAATTATGATCCACAAGCACAGTCTCAACACCAGTTGGAGAGATCGTGGATTGCATCAAACCTGCATCCAGAGCGGGTTAAAAACCATACTGCTACATATTCAGAACATGAAGATCCCACTATGAGGAAAGCCAAACCTAAATTTGTCATGGATATTGAGACTCTCTCAGTGGATAAGCAAGCAGAGGACAATCCTCACCAACAGTCAGATTCTCCTGATGAGTACTTTGCTTGTTCACAGTGTAAGGACTTCCGGGCCTCCACTAAAGGAGAGTGGGATAGCCACATTGCCATTGTTCACAATGGTGGCTCGGGGCCTAAAAAGCTCAGGTGCTCGATGTGCCAGTACACCACCATTAACCAGGAACGCCTGGAGCAACACAGGAGGCTTCATCGCCACCAGACCTTGCAGTGCAACTCCTGCACGTACCGCACGCCCATGAGGCATCTCATGATCCGTCACGTACAGACAGTGCACAGGCAGCACAGGCCCTTCCAATGCAAGCTGTGCACATATGCCACAGCCTACCGACATCACCTCCGGCGGCATGCAGAGAAGCACAAGAACCCTAACTTCAGGTGCCGGTACCGCAAGCTGATGAAGAAGGGGGACTGGCAAACTGCGGAAGCCAGCAACCGTGTCATCTGCAAGATCTGTGGAAGGGAGTTGCAAAACAAGAAGACCCTCCGCAGCCACTGCATCAAGGTTCACAACAGAATACCTGGTGGCAAGAATCAACAATATGTCCAGGATGATTTCAGCAGTGGCGAGATAAAGCCTGGGACAAGATATCAGCCATCTTACTCCATTATTGTGGAGGATGTTGCACCAGCACAGATTGAGAAGATGTACGAATGCTCAGTCTGCTCATTTAAGTTCAAGCGTCGCAGCGATCTGAACCAGCACGTGGCGCAGGGTCACGTCGAGGCGCAGGCCAGCCTGCCATGCCAGTGTCCCCAGTGTGGGTTGGTGACGGGCAGCGGTCAGCTGCAGCACCACATGCTGGTACATCAGGAGGAGAACCTTTTCCAGTGCGAGGAGGAAGGCTGCGACTTCAAGACGGCCCAAGCAGTTCACCTACAGCGCCACCAGAACAAGCATGCTGCTGAGCGTGATGTTCTGATCACCTGCCGTTACTGTCATGTCAAGTTCCCAGATGCTAGCAGTCTCCAGATACACAACGTCCAGGTCCACAGTGAGCGGACCAACACCATAGGCACTCGGACCCCCTTCCTGTGCTCCCTCTGCCCCTTCACCAGCACTAACGAGAAAGATGCCAACCGCCACTTCAAACTGCACAACTACAACCTGGCCTTTAAGTGCGAGTACTGCGTCTTCTCATCCTCCACGGCCTCTGCCATCGCCACCCACCAAAAGATTCACCGGTACCCTCGACGCAACCCCTCCACGACATTGGTGTCGAAGAAGGCCTCCCAGCAACAACGCCAACGAATTACATCCAGCACCTCGGTGAAATCGGGAGACAATCAGAACAGTCCTGTTGTAGGCATCATCCCAGAAAGGCCACGCCCCAAGCATGTCTTTGTCAGCAACAAGGGAAAGAAGCTGTACGAGTGCCGGTATTGTCAGAGGTTCTTTGATGTTGCTGAGGCGTGGCAGCGGCATGAACTCCGACACATGACAGAGTGGCCTCAGTATTAACCAAGACCTTCATAAAGGTACAAGAGGAAAGACAATTCAAAGTTCAATAAGCTTGCAGTAGTTTATGAGATAGGGATGATGGGGAAAAAAGTATCCCTCCCCTTTAGTTGAATGAAATTTTACAAAATTTGAACAAATATCACTGATTTTGGTGAACCAATCCGAACCTACGCATCTTGGTAATTGCTTGTTGCAAAGTCAAAGGTGCAAATTCTGCCTCCTACTTTCAATGATTATAGAATTTTTATACAAGGAGATAACATGTGCATGTTCTCAACAGAAACAAATAATGCTCTCGATTTTTCCTTGTCGGCATTACTTTCACCTACCTCGTTCCTTTTCCTTTATATGGGAATGCCTTTGCGTGTTCCACATACATTTGTCTGAATTTCACCACAAACTTTTAATGCAAAAGCCAAGCCGACAAAATTTGCCCCATAAATTTTGCCGCATAAAGGCTGTCTTTTTCGACAAATATACAAAAAGCATGTTTGATCTGTGAGTTGTAGTGTTTCCTTGTAGTGTTTCCTCCAATATGTAATTTTGTCTGTATTCTAACAAGTGAGGCTATGAAATTTGGCCGTAAAGGTAGTGGACACCATTTGCAAACATCCTGTGAATTAGTATGCTGTCATTTTTTAGAAAAGAGGAAATACGTGTCACATAATTTCCTGATCATTGTCAGAACCAAACCTTTGTGAGAAAAAAATCTGGCGCCTTTTCAAATACTGACCCAAATTGACCGAGTTTACTTCAGTTTGCAAGGGATTACATATCCGTGAATGACTCATATTTTTTTGAGTGACAATTGGGGATCGTACCACAAGAGGGTGCAAATGAAATCGTAAACCCTTTGCCCTCTTGCAGGCAATTGACTTAACAAGCAAAATTGGCAAATACATGTATTGAAGTGATATGGAGTGTAGCAAGTAAAGGGTTAATGAACATTTTGAAAGAGAGAGCTTTCAGTGGCAACCTTGCTGTGCATTGAGAAAAATGAAGATCAAATGCATTTTCACAGTTTTCCCCAAAACTATGATATCTTACTGAGCTAAAATTTTGACAGGTTCGTTATTTAGCCAGTTCTCGCTGGGATTATTTTGACAAGAAAGGAACGAGGCGCGGGATTACTTTTCACTCGACCTCAAGCCAGGCTGGTTGAAGCTATGACCCTCAGGCAGCACACTCATATTTCAGGCCTCGCTCGCCGCGAGCGGGTTCCCTGACAGATATTTCTGGCCTCCCTGCATGTTTATCTGTCATCTGTTCCGAATACCGCAAAACTTTGGTGTGTATACTCAGCCTCCGGCGCGAACTGGTTAATAACCTGTTTTAGATATATTGTGTTGTTCCTTGAATCGGCCAAAATACATTTCTTTTTTTGCAAATTGTGACCATTACCTTTAAATTCATGTAGTAAAGATGGGAAGCATGATCTAAAGCTGCAGCTTTTGAGTAAAAGCTTGTAAAGTACACATACTTTTGGCCTCACAGGGATGAGTCCAAGCAGTAACAGTTGTTTGCGGACCTGTGAAGGCAAATCGTGTTTTTGGTCAATTGTGTCAAATTTCTTAATGTTGGCTAAACTAGCTTCGTATTATGAGTTTGTTTAAGGTTGCCTTAACAGTTATGCACTGTAGTATTCAGTGTATTTTGATTATTCAACTTGTACATAGTTTTGATTGACTAAGGAGTCTAGCATTTGTACACTTTTAATTTGAAATTTCGTTTTTTTAGTTATATTAATTTGGCCTTTTGCTTTAGTCAGGCATGCGGAAAATTCTGGAAAAAAATTGTTGGCTAAGAAGTGTGCATGTTGATTTTTTTGTTGAAAGGCCATTTTAAGTGCTCGGATTTTGCTCTCCGATTTGAGAAAAACTGTTTGATACTTTACAATTGCTTATTTTTTTGTGGAATACAAATGAGGGCAAATTTCTATAATACTGAAGACAATTTAGCCATTCTTTTCTATGAGGAGCCTTCACACGGTTGGATTTAGCCTTTGCTGTGTTCGGCTTGAGCAGTTCTAAATTTATCAGAATTTCGCGTTAAGAAATATGCAGTGGGCAGAACTTCCAAGTCTTGCATGAACATAAGATATAGGCGGGCGCGGGGATTCAGGATTTTTTTTTACATTGGCTTATCTAGCTCCCAGACCCATGTTCTTGAAACTCAATGGTTCTTGAGTATGGAGTGCTGAATGGTGACACATAGCAATCAATGGAAATACATGTGCTAATGAAAAGATGTTTTCATCGGTTCGGCTGACCAGGACGTACGGCCGTGCCCGCCCATTTATGAATGTGTAGAGAGTATTATGCAGGCAAAAAAACATGCTTCACTTAAATGTATGACATCTTGCCAGCATCCATGCTTGTTTGAGAAAGTACTTATAAAGAAAAGCTGGAACGCAGTACTTTTAACCACATATCATTTTTAAAGTGTGTTTGACATACATGTCAGGCATGCAACTTTTCCTCGGATCAGCTGATTTCCTCTTTTTTCACTTCCCATGTCTGTCATTGAAAATAGAAAAACCACTGTACAAAGTCTTGGAAAGATTTGAATTTCCTCTTTTTTGGTGACTTCCCAGTTACATGCCTGACATGTTCTTGAATGCGTATTAAGAGTGTGATGGTTGTAAATTCCTCCGTGACATCGGAGGGGTCTAGCTGAATACGCAAAATATATGAACCAATGGCAGTCACATTCAGGGACGCGTGTTTTCGCGACTGTGACCGGAAACATGTTTCAGCTTTGGTCATTGGTTGAGCATTTTTGTGACTTTGGTTGGCCGGAGTGATGTCACTGTTCCAACCAAAACTTGACCAAGGGTGAGGGTCGGTTACGCAGTGCATTTCAAGATGGTGGAAAGATAAAAACACGACATTTATAAACAGTGCTGGGAACAACAAGCTTGTGATGCTTGTTTGTAATACGTATATCGTAAGTTTGTACATTTTAAGTGGCCTGTAATAAACTATCTATCCAACTTACAAGGCCACGAGGTATTGTCCCAAATTTTGCCGGAACAGGCTGCGAACACCTATCAATTATCAATGTTGTCAAAATGTCCGCATGTTTGTTTACAACTTTTTGACACTGTTTTTGGTTCAGCGTTTTTGTACGCATGCGTTAACATGTTTCCGGTTATCAATTTGACTTCACAGCTAATTTTCTGGTCGTGGTCGCCAAAACACGCACCTGGTTAACAAAAAAAATTAGTTCAATTCAACGCACTTTTGAAGTGGCATTCTAAGAAGAGACATGAATTTGTAGCCAGATGCATATTTAAAATCACTTAAACAAAATAGGTGTGTTTCTTCTGTTCAAAGATACAAATACATAATAAATGCAATCTTTTACTCTAGGACGTACCTTGACCTCAAGCTGTCCTCGCCAGTCCAGGACTGTGCGTTGGCTTTTGCTCCGTGGCTTCTTGTCAGTTCTTCCTATCTTTGGTTAGTCTGGTACCTTCTGTCAATGAGCTCGGTCCTCGTGCTGTACCATCGGATCTTAAACAGTCCTCCCACCTTTTGGGGTCTTCCACTAGGCCGGGTCGCTATGTACGTATGATCCTAGCAGCTTCATCCATTGAATGTATCCAAAGAAGCAGTGTCTTACCAGTTTGTGTCGGAGGACGTGATAACACGCACTGGCTGTTTTAAGACACGGGCACAGCTGACGGGTTAACACGCACTGGCTCTTTTTAGACACGGGCACAGCTGACGGGTTAAAACGTCAAGATTGCCTCGACTCGCCTCCGCGTGACGTCTAAACACGCTAATCCCTCTAGTCTTTGTACACACACACAAAGTCTGTGGAGTCCAACCGTGTGTTATCTTGAATTGGCCGTTGTGCACAGCCTATTGTTGTACAGTTTACGCTCCAGTGCACACCCACAATATTGAAACATATGAGGTTTTTTGGGGAAAAAATACTGTTGAAATGACTCTTGCGAGTCGGTATTTGTGGCATGTGGCTGTATATCGAAAAAATGGCGGGAACATTTTGCCTTTTGTAACAATTGAAATTTTTGGCAAAAATAAAAGGGTGGAATTCAATACATTGTATGAACTACTTGTTTACATGTTAATTCTTGTACCAGTTTCTTCACAAGTATGTATTAATTGTTGACATGGTTTTTTTTTTTCACAAATGACTACGTATTTTAATGTCTTAAATTTAGCACTCATGATAAGTAGGCATAGTAGTAGGACTTACAGTGTGGGTTTCTATTGAGATAATTGAGCTTTTAGTAATTGCATTTCTAGCAGTATCGAGTGAAAAGTAGTGATATTAAAATTTGTTGTGTACTTTCATTAGTTCATGAATTTGCTTAGGTAATTTTTGAAACTTGGCTATGCAAAATATCAAAAGTAAAAGTAGTCAGCTCAGTATCATAACTTTAATAGGAATTTGCAGTGTTGCGTTGTCAGCAATAGTATTTCCAAATGTTAAATTAGATTAAAAAATTCACTTTTGGTAACATTTTATTTCTACTATGCCAGAGTGCCTAAGAGAAATATCACTATGCACATTTTTTTTTTTTTACCAAATTTCCTTTCAAAGCTATGTGTAAAGATAGCCCTCTTTTGAAACTTGCTTTCAAAAATTGTTCGCGTGGTTCCTAGACCTGATGTCTCTGTCGATTCTTACTTATGAAGAGTCATCAGAGAATTGTCAGGTCAAGGAACCTGACTAAAAATTGTACTCCCTGTACATGTACAAAAGAATGCGCACATATTTGGCAAATGTAGAATATAAGTTTTGACCAAATTGTGATGAACTGTAAGGTGTTATAACCAGCGAAATCTTTCTCTCTGATAAATTTAGTTCTTGTGGTATGGATTCTTCAAATTTGCAGCTGCCTCAAAATTAAGGCGCACATTTGGGTTTTTCTTCTTTTTGAGTGTTAATGGGTGTGCATTTGCAACTCAATCTTCAATTTATGCAAACATATTTATGCAACTTCACAATTTAAAGTCAGTGCCCAAATTAAAATGGCGCAAATTTTGTATTAATAAATGTACATTGCATGTAAATATCAACGATAGATTAGCGACTTTGGTAATTTGGTTTGGATAAGTCTAAACATACATGCACATATCAGTCAATTTTTTGTTAAAAGAACGGCGCTCTAAAATCGTTCAAAATCACAATATCACAGTAAATCATGTTACAGGTACAGTGGAAAGCAAAAAAAAAAAAAAAAATACAAAAAGAGAAATGAACAAAAGAACAACAGAAGAATTGCAACACTCTTGTTTAATAGTGATGATTTAAGTTTTGCTTTTCATGTATGTAATTGATCTGATGTCAATTGTATAATTCATGTACATCTATACCAGTTTTGTATTCGAGTCCATCACAGTGGGAGACTTTTGAGACATTGGTGGCAGCAAACACACCGGCCCTTTGTTTATTGGTTGCAGCA